AATTGTTTGTTTGTTTTTTATGCTAATTATTCAATGCAAAAATTTGATGATGTCAGCAAAAAACCATTAACTCATGTCTATTGTTTAATAAATTTTCATTATTTAGAAACTTGATAATGTGTAGTTTTTCATGTAGGCATAAAGGGCATGGGTCATCTCAAGTTTTACAAGTTCTAGTTTTGTTTATAATTTTCCATTTTACTTTTGGTGTTTTATTCATTTCCTTCAAATGCCAAAAATAAATAAGCAGACTTAGTAAAATCTTTAATAAAAAAACCCAAAAATTAAGTTACAGTTGCACTAAAAAACTAGAAAGTATAATAAAAAAACACAATAATAAAATTCTGAATAAACCCGCATGCCAGAATAGTATTAATAAAAACCCTACACTTAAATTAGACAAAAATAAGGAAAAATTATGTTATGTAAAATGCCATGACCATTGGGTGTTACTATTTGTCACCACTTATCCTGGACCAAAATTTATAAAAGCGTCCTTGTATGTGACAAATTATTTTTCGACCTGCCATTTCTTTCTCACAGACAAGACGTTGCAAGTCTCTCACAGCTCCATTGCTTTTTCCATGGAGAATGTCCAAATTAACTAGACAGGTAGCTCCTCATTTTTCTTGTATAATGCTAAACATATAGCCTACAAAATCCACAAAAGAAAAATGAGTGTGCATGTTTATACTTCTATGTATTGGTATGTGCAAATATATACAAATTATTTATCTACATATAACTTTGTGTATATGAGGAATTTGGTTCTATTTCATTGGCTGTAAAATGCTATGACCATTGGGTGTTACTATTTGTCACCACTTATCCTGGACCAGTTCTAGCTTTCACATCTTGCAACACACATTGTAACAATGCAACCTTATTCCCTCCATATTCTTTTTGAGAGATCTAAGTTCCACCCAAGCAGTTTATTCCTACGAACCACTGCTTTGTCAAACTGACTCCCAAGAAAGTTGCTTCTCTGACCTCTTCAAACTTAACCTGTTCAAATTTAGGATTAGCCATTATCTTCCATACATATCCACATAAACTGTGCCTCTTATTCTACCTTGAGTGGTTTTTGGGTCTTGTACAGAGTTAAAATCATTGTAAAAAAAAAAAATTGAAGCTTTAGCATTTACCCTCTCATAAATAACATTAAGTTTGTTTTTTCTTTAATTTTCATGTTACAGGTTGGTAAATCTATAAATTTATTCACACAATTCCTGTGTGCTTGAATACGAAATGTGTGAGTTGATTTTTATTTCCCTGAAGAAATCTCAGGAATTGGTCACATAAAAAATAAAAGAAAGAATTTTGAAAATGTCAATGTTTACAATGGAAGCAATGTCAGTACCTCATATCCATTTTGGCTTGGAACTGTCTCAATTCATCTGCTTATTCAAATAAAAGACAATCCTTCTTTTCACTACTTTTACAAAATTCTTGTCTTTCATACTTACTGAAATCTGTGATGGTCTTTATTATTCCAGTTCTTTAACTGATTCTTGAGATTTTTTTTGTACTTTCTGTTTTGCCAAGAACATACCCAAAGGAAATACTAAATATTTTACCTTAAAGACAAGTTTTAAGAGTTAGGGAAAAATGTAGAATTCAATTACTTATTTTCTAAGTCTTTTAAAGCAGGAAAAAATTTATTGGTTGCCATGCTGAATAAAAAAAAAAACAGAATTTGTTAGTTTTGTTAATGTTAAAACAGCCTCTAAAATAAACCCTTTAGGAAATTAACTATAACAATATATATATATATATATATATATATATATATATATATATATATATATATATATATATATTAGACGTTGAATAAGTTCTTGCTGATTTTTAAAGAAAAGTAATGTTTTATTTAAAAATTAGTAAGAAACATATCACTGAAAATATTGTCTATCACTAGCCACTACTTTTTTCTATCTTTCTGGCAGCATTTGAATTCCACGTCGGAAAAATGACATGTCTTTTGAGGCTAACCATGAGTCAACCCATTTTTTGGCATCTTCATAAGAACAAAAGTGCAGCTCAGCCAGGCCATGTGCCATTGATTGGAACAAGTGATAATTGGATGGGGTAATCTCCAGTGAATACGACGGATGGAGTAGGACTTTCCATTTAAACGTTTCCATTTAGGTTTTCACCTGTTTTGCAACATGTGGCCTACCATTGTCATTTTGCAAAATAACTTTGTTGCATCTACTCATATATCAGCCATGTTTTTCTGCAATGCTTGGCTCAAACACATCAGTTGTAGTTGATAGCAATCTCCCATGATGGTTTCAATAAGTTTGAGCAGCTCATAATAAACTACACCCAGCTGATCTCACCAAATACAGAGCAGAACATTCAAACCATGTTGATGCATAGTCGGGCTTACTCTATAATAGTTTATGTTTAGGGTTATCATCATGTATCCACTTTTCATTGCCAGTCATGATACGATGCAAAAAAAACCTTCCTTTTTTGCTATTGAAGCAGCTGACAAGATGCCATTCAATGTCTCTTGGCTTCAACTTATACAGCACCCAATGTCCTAGCTTTTGAATCATTCCTGATGCTTTCAAATGTTTCGAAACTGTTGTGTGATCAACTCGTCATGATTCTGCAAGTTCAGGAGGAGGCATGGTGGAGTAATGGATAGCGGCTTGGATTGAGGAATCGCAGAGCCGAGTTCAAATTCCAGTCGAATCCATTACATTCACTTACGTGCTAACACCCTTGGAAAAGGTGTGAATCCTCTTTCTTCTCCCTCCAGCTATGGGTAAATAGCAGGACAGACTGGGTTCTATAGCCTTGGATGGCAACTGGTCTAGGAGAAGGAAAACTCTGAATTCAAACCTGCTCTTAGAGGAGGGTGAATGGAGTCTCTCTGAGCCTTGGTTGGCAATCCATTTAGTGATGGTGTCACGATAAAAATACCCTTGATAGCCCTAGCGAAGCATCAAGAATTCAGCTATTTGACAAGATTATGAACTACACCAATCAAAGTATTGGTGAGTTCAATCTCGGCTGAGGCTGCAAGATGAGATGAAGATGATGTGCCTGGCATGAGTCTTCAAAAAATAATGCCTCTAAATCTTTGAAATCAAACTTTTTCAGTACTCAAGAGCATTCTTTATCTTCAACATTAAAATCACTATTTTTGAAGCATTTAAACCAATCTCTGCATGTTGTTTCCAACAGAGCATGGTCGCTGTAAGTCTCAACAAAAGTTCTGTATACTTCATCTGCAGATTTCTTTTGAATAAAGTAATGCAGTAAAATTCCCCACCAATACACTTTCTTTGGCATGAAATCATGTTTAACGCCATGAAAAGTAAAGTTGTTTACGCTTCGGCAAAATGGCATAAACTGAATTTGAAGCTTGTTTATAGTACTTGCTTATAGATGTGTTACCATCTGAAATTACACACACAGTTCATATATATATACATGTATATATGATAAAAATATAGGTATGCTATATTTATGGGTCAAAGTGCTCAATTTGAGAGAGAGAGCGTATATATATATATATATATATATATATATATATAAACATGCATGACAGTATATTTCATGCTTAAAAGTGCTCAATGACAATTTTTATATGGTCTGTCTGTTTATATATATATATATATATATATATATATATATATATATATATATATATATATATATCTTAGAATGTATTTTTTTATTGATCTGAAAGATTTTTTATCCCATTAAGTGTTATTTTTAGTGGATACTCATATTTAAGTAGGTGTTTTGTTTATTTATTAAACAGTATATTTATTTATTTATTTTCATCTACTGGCCTGGAATGTTCCAGGAAAATATTTCTTTAATAAGATCTCTGAAACATTCAGGTCGATAGACAAAAATAAATAAATATACTGTTCAATAAATAAACTGAGTGCCTACTCAAGTTCATGTATCTATTAAAATAATATTTAAAAGATAATATATATATATATATATATATATATATATATATATATATATATATATATATATATACTCGACTCTCCTGCTGAATTCAACGTATGAGGTGTTAGAATTTTTGGGTACTTTAGTACTAGTGAGCTAGCCAAAATGAGTTGACACATTTTATAGTTCACCAATAGAAAGGTTAACCAATCAGAAGGCTCAAAATATTCAATGCGACGTGTACAAAGGCAGCCATGTTTTTTTCCGAATATTCACTGGCAGCCTTTGATATCGAAGACTGAAGAATTACAGAACAGCTGCTGCTGGTGGTATTGGTGATATAGGCGGATTCAGTAGAGTGTCTGACTCGTGAGTATTAATCTTTAACATTGTTTTATTGAACAGATTACGTACTGTGCTGTATTCTATATTCATAGACTTGGCGAACATGGTCAACATGAGGGTCAAGCAGATCAGTTCCAAGGAAACTGACAGCCCGACACCAGCACGTGAGATTTGATTATAGTGGTGAAGGCTTTGTACAGTACCATTCACACTTTTTGAAGGGCTGAATACAGAGACCTGGTGCACTACATGTCCACATGGTCCCTAAATGACCCTCCACAGGTTTTGAATTCAGAGTTGTCCTTCTCCTGGACAAGTTGCCATCCAAGGCTATAGAACCCAGTCTGTCCTGCTATTTACCCATAGCTGGAGGGAGAAGAAGAGGATTCACACTTTTCCCAAGGATATTAGCATGTAAGGGAATGTAATGGATTCGACTGAATTCGAACCGGCTCTCCGATTCCTCAATCCAAGTCGATATCCATTAGTCCACCGTGCCTCACCGTGTTTATATATATATATATATATATATATATATATATATATATATATATATATATATATATATATATATATATAATTTATTTTGAAATTGAAAAATTTACTTATTGTAAATTAATTTATCCGTATTTGATAATTATTGTTATCCAGACTATGCACTTTCATGGTGTAGATCCACTTTTCAAGGGTTTATTTTTGATAAATTTTTCCATGCTCTCAGTGACGTGTACATGTTCATATTCATTTATGTGTTCATCAGTTCGATCATAAACACAAGTTCTCCACAAAAGTATAGTTCCAATACACAAATGTAATAGATGTGTGCATGTTCATGCACCCATGCATGATCACAAGTTCACTCAAAAACGCATAATTTCCACAAGAGCTCACCTCTAATGTAATTGATTTTCTATTGTATATTTTTCCATTGTGTGTATGTGTGTATATATATATATATATATATATATATATATATATATATTTATTTAAATATAAATATGAATATAGATATATATATATAAAATATATATACTTAAATATAAATGAATATTTATATTTAAATATAAATAAATATGAATATAAATATATATATGTTGATTTAAATATGAATAAATATACATGTGTATATATTTAAATATATATAATAAATAAATATATATATAAATATATATTTATTTAAAGATAAATATATATATATATATTTATGTAAACATAAATAAATATATTTATTTATTCATCTAAATATAAATAAATATATATATATAAAATATATATTTAAATATAGATAAATATAAATATATATTTATTTAAATATAAATTAATATATATATCTATATATTTATAATATATAATTAGATATAAATAATATATAAAATATATATTTATTTAAATATAAATAAATATTCTATTCATATCAATATATATTTATATAACTATTAATATTTATATATATATAAATATATAATAATTTCAATATAAATAAATAAATATGTATATGTGTGTGTGTGTGTGTGTGTGTGTGTGTGTGTGTGTGTGTGTGCTAATGATTTATATATTTGTGTATATCAAAAGCAGTTGGAGTAAAGCTGTATGACAATGCGGAAAAAGCTTTTGTTTAATGCATTTCATCCCTTAGGACTTCATTGGAATAGGTTTGTTTAGTTTGATGTGACTTCACATTCATATGAATGAGAAATGCTGGGAGGTTTAAATTTGGAAAATATGTTTGAAAAACATTATATATATATATATATATATATATATATATATATATAGAGAGAGAGAGAGAGAGAGAGAAGAGAAGAGAGAAAGAATGTATTTAGCAATCATGAAACTGTCTTGACTTCTATGTCGACACTGACCATTCTTGCCCCATTGCCACAGCAAATTTTAAATGATGTATATAATAAATGTCATTTTCAGTGTGTCACACCTTTTCAACTTTACTCATAGATGCTGTAGCCCAACATATCATACCATTTTGGAACCAAATTAAAAACATTCCAGGCCAAATCCAGAACCGGGCCTGCAATCCTGAAAATCCGGATTCCTAAGTTTTCATTACTATAATTGTTTTTGATAATTTATTTTACATCATTTTTTTTGTACGATAACAATTTTTATAACTTGGAAATAAATTTGGGAATAATCAAAATTAATTTCAAAATCCAGTGAAAGTCACCCATGAAATAAAAATAATTGTTTGTACAGAAAGTAAGGATCTACATACATTAAATTGTTTTTAAATTAAGTGGCAGCAGAAGAATTATCATTGAACTTTTAAAATGTAAGCTTAAATATTAATGCGATACTTAAATGCAGCAATCAATTTTAAGATCTTCTATAGTTTATTGTTGCCTATCACGTCTACTCCTCTTTACTTATTGTGTTGAAGGTCCAAATGAGAGCCCTCTCAGGAGTTAGCTTGCCTCGGGGTGGTAGCACTTGTTAGGGTCCCAGCATTGGGCAAATACTTGACCCACAAAATGGGGTCAAAACTCGATGAAAGTATAAAAATACATTTTTATAGTAAAATTACCAGCAATAGACTTTTGAAATAAAAAAAAATATTACTAGCAATACATTTTTGTAAAAGAAATTACTAATGTTCCCAAGAATAAATTTCAGCATTAAATGACCCATAAAGAGTTCATATACCACTAAACAAACAAATAACTAAATACAATGTAAATAGATTTATATCAGGAGTGCTTATTTGTAGTATAGACTAAACCTGAGATTAATGATTTATATAATGATTTATATTGATTATATATAATATCAGTCAGTTATGTGCCATGCATGATACATGGTTAGGTGATCATGAATCTTTCAATACATGACTGATGAGGCAGATAAAAATCAGTAGGTTGCCATTTCTTTCTGCAGTAAACCAGTTGCCATCCAAGGCTACAAAACTGATGTAATGAATATGCATACACGTGGGTTCCCCCTCACAATAATATGATTGGCTGGTGTCAGCCATAAATACAGACTGATGTGCAGGTACAGGGAGGACACCTATTGGCTACGCCTATTGTCATACTTGGTGATGTAATGAATATGCATACACCTGGGTTCCCCCTCACAATAATATGATTGACTGGTGTCAGCCATAAATACAGACTGATGTGCAGGTACAGGGAGGACACCTATTGACTACGCCTATTGTCATACTTGGTGATGTAATGAATGTGCATACATGTGGGTTCCCCCTCACAGTAATATGATTGGCTGGTGTAGGCCATAAATACAGACTGATGTGCAGGTACAGGGAGGACACCTATTGGCTACGCCTATTGTCATACTTGGTGATGTAATGAATATGCATACACCTGGGTTCCCCCTCACAATAATATGATTGGCTGGTGTCAGCCATAAATACAGACTGATGTGGATGTACAGGACGATGCCTATTGGCTACGCCTATTGCCTACCACTATGACGAGGACCTGTCCATTACGGTTATCTGCTAGATTGTCCTACTTGGTTACAGTAGTCAACAACCACTTGGCTACTTCTAACAAATATATCCTTTTCCGGGACATATCAAGAACCCAATATATCCTGCTATTTACCCATAGCTGGGGGGATAAGAAGAGGATTCATACTTTTCCCAACGGTATTAGCATATAAGTGAATGTAATGAATTTCTTCTGGAATTTGACCGTGACTCTCTGATTTCTCAATCTAAGCCGCTATCCATTGTTCCAGCATGCCTCCTATAATATATATATAATATAATGATTTATAATGATGTACCATTTTTAATGATTATAATAACGTAATGATTTATAAATCTACATCAATAGTACTTATTGGTTAGTCAGATTAAAAATGTGACCAGAAATTTTTAAAGAAAATGAAAACAAAGTGAAGATCAGAACATTACAAATTAAATTTCTAGGACATATAACGATTTGGATTGTTTTTTTTTTTGTTTTTTTATGGCTTATCAACCCTTTAAAGCCAGAATATATATTTTTTGTAGGGGTGGAGATAATAATTTACTGATACAAATTCTTCTAATTACACATAGATTAGAGGAGAAGTGGAAACAGGAATAGATTTTAGGTTTTAAATTTGATCATTTTGCCATCAGAGAAGCAATAGGAGACAAACTATTGAAGATGACATACAAACATGTAAAATTTACTTTGTGTGCGTGCGTGCATTTACTTTTGTGTCCAATGACAAGTTTCAGTGACAATCTAAGTTGAAGACATGAGAAGAATTTTTAACAAGGTTCTTTAATTGGAAAACTTAATGTTTACTCGTTTGACAGTCAAACAATTAGAAATGACTACATGCTCTTTACAGCTTGTCAGTTTTAATATTTTCAAAATAGGTTTTTGCAACTGTTAGACATTTTATAAAAATCAATAACAAGAAAACATTTCAAGTGAAAGGTCAAATATTTCTCATTCGTTTTTGTCTGGATGATTTACAAAGTAGATTTACAATGCAAAGTTAGCCAAAAATTATATTTTTATCCTTATTTTTTTTTTATATCCCTTTATAGCTATGTATCTATATATCACTCTGGCTTAGTCTGTTCATATCTATCTATTTTATTCTGTTCTTATCTATCTATCTATCTATCTATCTATCTATCTATTACAGTCTGTTCGTATCTATCTATCTAGCTAGCTAGCTAGCTCAGTCTGTTCATATCTATCTATCTATCTATCTATCTATCTATCTATCTATCTATCTATCTCAGTCTGTTCATATCTATATATCTATCTCAGTCTGTTCATAATTATCTGTTTACCTCTTTTTACCTATCTATCTAGCTATCTATGTCTCTAAGTCTATCTATCTATCTATCTATCTATCTATCTATCTATCTATCTATCTATCTATTGCAGTCTGTTCATATCTATTTATGCCACACTATTCATATCTATCTATCTATCTCTTATGGTAATTTACCCACACATGCATGGACTCTCCCAGCTATAAATAGGAGCAGGTACTGCCTTTTAGAGATGGAAGTTTCCAGCCGTCAGCTCTGACAGTTGGATCAAACATTCTTGCTGTAACACTCTTGTTTGTATATGTTTGTATTACTGTTTCTGTTAATATATTTGTTTAACTTAATTCCTCTCTTGTGTCTTTATTTCTGGCCCTAACAAGACCACAACACTATCTATCTATCTATCTATCTATCTATCTTAGTCTGTTCATATCTATATATCTATCTCAGTCTGTTCTTATCTATCTATCTAGCTAGCTAGCTAGCTATATATCTAATTCTGTTCATAACTACCCATCTATCTATTGCAATCTGTTCATATGTATCTATCAATGGCACACTCTATCTATCTATCTATCTATCTATCTATCTATCTATCTATCTATCAAGGCAGGATCATTATTTAACCTCCACTAAATCAGAAGAATTATTTCACTGTAATTCCAAGGCACAATTTCACCTCCAATAAAGTAGAAGAATTATTCCACCACCAATAACCCAGATCTTTCATTGTAAGTAATTCCTAAGTAGAGATTCACCTCCAGGAAGGCACAAACAATATTTTACCTCCAGTATGTTAGAAGAACTATTTCACTGCAAGTTAATTGAATCAACAATTTCACCCACCAGTGAGTCAAAAGCACTAATTCAGTTCCAATTAGAAGCACATTTTCATCTCTATGTAGGCAGGAGCACAATTAAGTAAGTTCTCAAACATAATTTCACTACCAGTAAGTCAAAAGTAAAACTTTTTTGTACAGTGAGTCAAAAGTATTATTTCATCTCTAGTAAGTAAAAAGCATTATTATACCTCCAGTAAACCAGAAGCACAATATCAACTCTTGTGATTTATATGAACAATTTTACCTCCAATAAGTCAGAAGCTGTATTTCACCTCTCGTAAGTAAGCACTATTTCACCTCCAGTAATTTATATGAACAGTTTCATCTCCAGTAAAACAGGAAATTGTTCCCCTTCAGTAATTTAAATGAATAATTTCACCTTCAATAAGTCAGAAGCAGTATTTCACCTCCAGCAATTTAGATGAACAATTTCCCCTCCAGTAAGTCAGAAGTGGTATTTCACCTCCATTAATTTAGATGAACAATTTTGCTTCCAGTAAGCTGCAAGCATTATTTCACCTCCAATAATTTAGATGAACAATTTTACCTCCAATATGTCATAAGCATTATTTCACCTACAGTGAATCAGAAGCACTGTTTCACCCACTTTTATTTTAGATGAACAATTTCACCACCAGTATGTCAGAAGTACTATTTCACCTCCAGTAATTTAGATGAACAGTTTTATCTCTGGTAAGCCATAAGTACTATTTCACCTCCAATAATTTGGATGAAAAATTTCACCTCCAGTATGTCAGAAGCACTATTTCACCTCCTGTAATTTCACCCCCATTAAGTCAAAAGTACAATCTCACCTAGATTCTTTCATTATCCACAGTCAGGTAAAAATGAAAGTAACACTCAAGTAGAGAATGGTGACTTGTCTCTCAGAAATTGAAAAATTTAACAATTCTGAATTGCACTTCAGAACAGGGAGGGTATAAATTTGTCAATTGATAAGTTGGCTTTTAAGACTGTATATAATTTGATTTCATTTTTCCTGATGATTTTTTAAAAATATAAATTACTTTGTGTTGTCTTTCTTCATTTCAAAGTTACACTCTGAAATTACTGCAGTTCATGTTAATCATGATTAAAACTGTCTTTCAAATTTTATGAATTTTGTACAAACCGAATGAAATTATCAAGTTTTGAGTTTATTGAGAAAACTTCTATGCACTTTTGCATGTGCGTGTATATATATATATATATATATATATATATATATATATATATATATGGCTGTTTCATTAAAAACGACAGACAAGGTACTATGGTTAAGCTTTTATTTAATTTTTCTTGTATTTGAACAAGAGCTTTTCTGAACAAAGGGTGTGTAAGAACTGTCCAAATGTTTTATATTTCCGAGCACTTTTGGCAATACCTTTAGCCATTATCAAGGATGATTCGATTTTTCAGCTTAATTGAGTGTGTGCGTTCTGTGTATGTCTTAGTGTGTGGTAGGGATGTTTTTAATTTCTGAATACGGTTAGCACAATTGTGGCCTTGTTCGTAGTTAATATTGTTAAGAGTTGGCTTTTTCTTTATTATTAACTATGAACAAAGCCACAATGAACTTCCTGAGGACATCAGCTCTCAATTTGCTAATCTATGCCTGATGACACAACAGTAGTAAGGCTGATCAATCTGACAAGGTCAACATAGCAGCTAATGCCCTAAAAAAAACTCAAGTTCATTAACTGGGGCAAAAGATGACTTTTAAAAGACTTGTTAAACTAAACTTCTCTTCATTAATCATCTGAGAAATCCTTCTCTGCCTTTCATCAGAATGGCTGATGCTAACCACCAGGAAAGTTACTCATTGTGCCTTCTCAGGCAAATGTTCTCAGCTGATATGAAGTGAAAAGACTATATTGATTTCATTGCTCGGTCTGCTGCTAAGAATATTGGTTCACTGTATCATGCAAGACAATTTTTCTCTCCAGAATCTACCTACCATTCATCCATACTTAAGATATTGCTGCCACATATGGTCCGGTGCCCCTGCTATTTACCTTGAGCAACCTTGATAAAAGCCAAAGAAGACTCAGCAATATTATTGGTCCTGATCTGACAGTTCAGCTCCAGTCACTTTCCACCGCTGTAATGTTGCCTCTCTGTGCCTTTTCTATAAATACTTTCATGATAATTATTTGGATGAGCTCTTCCTAAACTTTTTGAATTTAAACCCAGTACTAGACTGGTGATCTCATCAATTTACAGTTGAGCTGGCTAGATGTAGCAGTAAATTCTATGCTAACAGTTTCTTTCCTCGTACTTCTTGCTTCCGTCTCCATGTTTTCCAGCCAACTTTAATCTGCAAAAATTAAAATGCAATATCAATTGCTATCTACTCTTTCCCACTCATTATTAATGTTTCTATTACTGATTCTCCCACACCCTGTAGCCATTGTGTTTTAGTGGCATTACAGCTTTGAATGGGGTGATACCAATTAAAAAAACAAACTAGCCAACACACTAAACCTTTTTAAGTAATGCACATCTCCCTTTGAGATCTTTCAAAACCTTTATTTGCTATAACAGAAAAACTTCAATAACTTACCTAATGTTAAGCCATTTTACAGTTTCATCAAACTTCATTATACTTCTGGGATTAATTGCCCTCATTCAATGGCATTCATTAATTCCTTCGATTAATGGATGAACCTGTAATCTTTCTCTAACGAAATTACTGAAATCTTTGTCTTCTCCATCTTCTTCTTCATAGTCGTAGTCTTCTTCTTAGTCTTACACCGCAGTTGACACCAAAACGAACAACATGTGTGACTTTTGCACAACAGGACAACTCTTTTACCCTTGCAAAGCTTTTATGCTGGTGAGGCATACGCTTATGCAAATGAATATGGGCCTCACTCCCAGTCTGGTTGTGCACACGCACTGCCATTTTTGTGTCTGCTTCCATGATGTTTGCCTGGTCAAATGTTCATTCATTCATTTGTTACACTCCCCTCTAATCCTTGATGATCATAGCATGGGCTAGGTCGCGTTGGTAAACTCCAGCATGTGCTTCATCACAAGGGTGATTCTGTGGTTTCTCTATTTTGTGCTGTTTGTCGGCTAGGCAGTGTGATATACCCAGTGTCGTCAGAAATCTCATCATCTGTTTCGCCAGGTTTTACAGAACCTTATGAAATGGCGTGTAAGAATATCTTTTAATTACTCTAAATTACATAAGCATTGAATCCTTTTTTATTTTAAACTTTTCTCACTTTCTTTTTAATTTATTTCAGGTTCACCTAGAAGTTTGTCGATATTAATTAACAAAATTTGATTTTTACTTTGAGGATTGAAACAAGATCTGGTTTGGATGTGAAAATTTTTCCGCTCTTAAAATCACACAACTTTTTTCATTTACCAATTTTTAGTAATTAAAATCAAAAAATGCTTACAATAATAATATAATGTCAGATAAATAAAAGAAATTGTAAATAAAACAACATGGATACAGTTCTGAATAAGATATCAGAAATGAAGAACTCTGTATTAATGGCAAGTTTATAAAAATAGAGGAGGCACCTAATGGATAGTGGCTCAGATTGAGGAACTGGAGAGCCGAGTTCGAATTCCAGTTGAATCCATTACATTCACTTATGCACTTATACCCTTGGGAAAGGTATGAGGCCTCTTCTTCTCCCCCAGCTATGGATAAATACCAGGACAGACTGAGTTCTATAGCCTTGGATGGATGGCAACTGGTCTACCACTGGGGGAAAAAAATCTGCCTTGTCAGTCATGTATCGAAAGATACATGATCCCGTAAGCATGTATAATGCATGGCAAATAACTGACTATAAAAATAAGTTAATCTTACTCACTCCCTCCGTTCTGAAGCCTCCACTGAGGAGTCTAGGGTATCAGCTCTCAATATATATTAGGCATTGCCACAGTAGTTTCCATAGCAAGGAGGTTTTCTAGAATGAAGGAGCCAGCAATATACCCAAATGTTTTCAACCGTTGCCTTTCTAGACTGGTTGCCAACCAATGCTGAAGAACTTGATCTGACTTACTATTTAAATCCAAAGTGAAGGAGAAGAGATGGATTCATACCTTTCCCAATGGCATTTATGAGAGTGAATGCAATGAACTTGGATGGGATTTGAACTCAGCTTGACATATCATTACACCATCTTCTAATCATTACACCACCTGCACATCCAGGGACATGTTGTAAAAAGGATATCTAAAAAGAGAAATTAAATCAACAAGAAACTGATAGTGCACCAAAAAGTCTTGCTGTCACCTGTTCACCCAAAATCTCAGATATTGGTTGGAAATCTGAGGATGAATTGGGACTATCCACATGACAGCATTACTAAAATCAGCAAGAATACTGAGGAGAGTGCTGGTGTATTGAAGAGACTTGCTGTCACTCGTTCAACTGACTAAAGCATGAAGATGTGAAATGGAGATCAGTGGAAGTATCAAAACCATCCAGATGACAGCATTACTAAAATAAGCAAGAATACTGAGGAGAGTGCTGGTGTATCAAGGAGACTTGCTGTCACTCGTTCAACTGACTAAAGTATGAAGATGTGAAATGGAGATCAGTGGAAGTATCAAAACCATCTAGATGACAGCATTACTAAAATAAGCAAGAATACTGAGGAGAGTGCTGGTATATTGAGGAGACTTGCTGTCACTTGTTTACCAGTGATGACCACTAAAGAAGTGTCAAACATATCCCAAGTTTAATTTATTACCTACTGACCCTCTTGCCTGTCTTGTGAGTGTCAGTTTCTCCAGAACTATTTTCTGTGTTTTATGTGCCAGAAA